CGAAAATGATAGATGCTTTTTATAATTGACCTTGGGAAAATTGAAATTTTTTCTTACATTTGGAGAAGCGGCAGTGTGTTGATTGATTTTTTACAGCAAATTTGAATAAAAGTTGTTCGAACGTGTTGTCATTAAATTGAAATAATCCCGTACTTTGACGAAAAGAAATAATTAGCTTCACCTTTGCGGTTTTCAAAATGCTACTTTATTCAGTGTAAAATTTCGTACGTTTAATTGTCAATTGGCAATGACATAAATATACCTAGGTTATAATGTACACCGTGTGCCACATAAAACGACCCACTATACCATCTGAAAACGCATAGGAGACACGAAAATAAGTTTCGTTTTGTTGATACCGGGTGTTATTTTGTTATTTTAAATAGTATAACGTGTATATATCGACAGCTTTGGAATCTTTGGTTAAAATAAAGGTCACTTTCTTAAGAAATTCCTATTCGAATTTTGTATATTTTAGGCAGAAATTGATTTTATGTGTTTTTTTATCATATTTTGATTGCCCCATATAAAATTGTGTTGTGACGCTATTGATCCAACGAAAATTTAACCACAGAGGAGGATGATACACTACTCGATCAGTTTGACAGATGCGCCTCAGCCTATACAGGGTGTCCCAAATAGGTGATACCGTTTTGGCGAATTCAAATAACAAAATCTCAAGATTTTCAAATGGATCACCCTATATTTTTATTCAGATATTAATTCTAGGATAAAAAATAAGGTTAGTTTGTATCTTATTTTATACATAATTTCTTCATACTTTTTGAGAAATTTTTCAAGAACCATGGATTCCAAAGATGTCGAAATATATATATATATATATATATATATATATATATATATATATATATATATATATATATATATATATATATATATATATATATATATATATATATTCTCACGTATTGATTCACGGATGGAAAAATGTGATGACACTATACTCCGGGATATCATCCGTTCGCTCGTTGAACTCCGACTGGAATCCTGCATCCGACTGGAATCCTGCAAATCCTGCATCCGACTGGAATCCTGCAGACGTTTCGCCAAAATCTCACTTGGCATCTTCAATGCTCGCGCTCCGAAAACACTTCGAACACTGAACCATGGATTCCAAAGATGTCGAAATATATATATATATATATATATATATATATATATATATATATATATATATATATATATATATATATATATATATATATATATATATATATATATATATATATATATATATATATATATATATATATATATATATATATATATATATATATATATATATATATGATGACACTATACTCCGGGATATCATCCGTTCGCTCGTTGAACTCCGACTGGAATCCTGCATCCGACTGGAATCCTGCAAATCCTGCATCCGACTGGAATCCTGCAGACGTTTCGCCAAAATCTCACTTGGCATCTTCAATGCTCGCGCTCCGAAAACACTTCGAACACTGAACACTAAAAGCCAATCGAAAATCTTTCAAAAAATTGGATTATGTTGTATTTTTCAAAAAGTTGGCAACTATGAGAAACCTTTTTATATTTTAGAAGAAAAAAAACGCATTCTTCATAAAAAAGTCCTGCATATTTTTAAATCTTTATGAATGTCAAAACATTATGGAGGGGCGTGCAATGTCAAAATTTGAAAAAAAAATGTTTTTTTCAAGTATTTTCAATTTTTCGTTGCTTCTGCTCAGTACTAGCGTTTCTTTTGTTCACAGTCATATTGAATGCAAACAGTTAAAAGGCTCATAAAATGTGTTCATTTAGACATCGCTCGTAAAATTTGTTATCTGTAACTGGAAACAAAATTAATTTTTAATCGAATCTATTGATAATTGCATATCATTTTTGTAAATAACAGTTTTTATTTAATGATAAAAATTAATAGATATTTTGTCTCGTCTCGTCTCGCCAATGACGGCAAATTATTTTTATCTTCAGATGAACATTCAAAATGACTATATTTATTTATGTGTCATTTGTGAAACTTACTTGGGTATTTCTGGTATAAATTAAATGAAAAAAAATATCCAGCAGGATTTAGGACGACACATTTATGCAAAAACATATGCTTAACCTAATAGTCGAAATTACAAACTAAACCACCAAAAATTTAACGAACTATGGAAAACTCAATCCGCCCACCACATTCTCTTTGATGTTTGATGCCTGCAAGCGACAAGTTGTAAAAATGAATTTTAAAATTAGGGAATCTTCCGGAAGTTTAGACTTTTTTATGTAAATATGCACTAAACAAAGGATTATTAATATTTAAGAAGGCATTTACATCGCATACGCGTATTTCCGTGTCAAATTCAATTAACCTTTCGTATCAAGTTCATGGCAATTTTAAATTTAGAAGCTTGTTAATATCAATCAGGTGCTAAAAAAGTTGTTTAAAGTCAAATATCAATATTTTATGTATTTAATAATAAAATTTCTTGAACACAAATTGTAGAATGGGTTCAAAGATGGCCCTAATGTTCTTTCAGATTATAAAATTTGAAGACCTTACATTATTTATTATCAAAAGAAATGCGGACAACTTAAGTGGGTGATTTATGGTTAAAAATGAAGGGTAGCATAAACGTTGGGTCAAAAGTCGACATTGTTTTAATTTTTTATCTTAAAATCGAAAATATAAACTTGATTGTTTTGATTTGACACGGTGGAGTTCGAACACCTGACTTTTGCGTGAGTGGCTTGAGTTTACCAAGCGTGTTACATACTACAGTTTTTCCACAACCGTTAGTTTTTGGGTACATTTTTCGCAAAACAACACGAATACGTTCACTAAAATGATCGTCAGAATTGACAAACGTCAAAATTCAAGCCGGGAGACTCACGCGGTAAAGTGACGCTTCCCGCATGCTAGATCGGTGTATAATATATAATGAATATAATGAGGTATTTCACACAAGGAAGTAGAAGTTAGAAGATAATTGCAGCGCCCAAGTAAATTATTTTTATAAAATATGTTTTTTTCGATATGTAATGCTTATTTGGAAACGAAAGTTTTATGAAAAAATTGCAAAAAAGGTTTCTAAATAAAATACAAAATAAAAACTATATTTATATTTATACGTCATCGCATAAGTCGTTCCTTAAGTCGTCCGTTAAGAAGACTGATATTGATAATCTAATTCAATATCCATCACTTATTCTACAAAAAAATATGTAGAAAGTGTTATTATAATATTAATAAGTCCGTAATTTATTGTTCATGTTTGTAGCTTGATAACTCCCGAACCATTGACTTGACGTTATTTTAAGCAAGGAAAATACCCCTTAAGTGTTTCGCATTTGTATTAAGTCGTCCTGAATACCATAGACAAGACTTTTATTTCCAAATCCATAAATAAGATTCAAGTCTGGAGAGAGGTGTTGAGTTTGTTGATCTATCGATCTGTTTTAATTAGACTTTCCAACACTTTCATTTCGCCTGATCCTGCGATCGATTGGATTGTGAAGTCCGTGCAAATATCGGAACAAGTAGAAAAGCTAAATCACAACTAGAGCTTCATATCAGAATATCAGAATATCAGGTATGTTGCTTATTCAGTTCAATGGACCTTGGTGCATTCTGATATGTACTTTTCTCAGCTTTCCCGTTATAATACATGAAGCTGTGGCAGGTCGTGAGACAAATGAGACTTCTTTCAGTTTGCTTCGCTGTTTAAATAGTGGATTTACCAACAAAAGATCTATAGTCCTCTGGTGTGACAACTTGTCAAAATGATAACAAATATATTTTGTTTGTTCACATGACTGACATGACATGACCGTCAGAATTGACAGACGTCAAAATTCAAAGCGTGGGAAATATCTCCGAAAATATCCGATTGCTCCCAAATCCGTGCGGTAAAATCCCGGAAATGTCCGAAGTGGCTCGGATCCATGGGAAACGAAACTGACGTGGTAAAGTGACGCTTCCCGCAGTCTAGATCGGTGTGTAATTAGGTATTTTACAGACGGGAGTAGAAAAGGTTATTTATAATTTACTAAAAAAAAAGAATGAAATGAAATGAGTAGAAAAAATATAATACATGTCTACCATTTACATACATATATTTTGTTTCACGTTTGCAGTTAGCCTAATTTTTATTGTTAACAAGCTCTAAAATACATAACCAATAAATTTAAACGCCAATTTAAAATTAAAGTATATTGCTAAAATGTTCAGTGACAATTACACCATTTCTTTTTTCTGTCATTTTATAATTTTTCAGTTTAGTTCTCCGTTTGCCTTGAGCTTGTTTTCTTGCGTTAATATATAATTAAAACGAATTTTCTCCTTTGAATATCTCAAAACTTTCTTTTTCGCACCTTTGTTACTCTTCAAATGACATCGGATATGTTTTTTTTAACTTACCGTTTTCGAGAATCATCCAATCGACCTTTGGCCTTGAATAGAATTTTTACATTTTGCATTTATTTTTACTGACATACCCAAGATCTCCACTAAGTTTTTTTGTTATTTGAGTGCTATTTTTATGCCCAATTCGACCGGACTATAGTCAAACAAAACGTACGTAAAGGATCTGCAAGAATTTATTTCAAAAATACCGCCAGTTTCGAAGGAAAATTAAATCGATTTTTGTGTTGTTTTTCAAACGTATTATTACTGAGATATTCGAAGCGATTTTCAAAATTAAAAGCCCTTTTGTGCCATTTATTAATTTATATTCATTTAAAAAAGATAAAAAGATCATTTTTTGCAAATACAGTTTTGTTGTTCTTCCGATTTTGCAGGTATTTTTCATATTTTATTTCAATAAATAGTGCCCAATTTATTAATTATATAAATAGTTCGTTAGCGGTTCAATAGAGTAGCTATTTAAAGCTAGCTTTTGAGCTATCTGTTTACTTTTCGTTGAAAAATATTAATATTCTATATTGTTTTTTTTGTTATAATAAAGGCTATTTATTATTATTATTTTGGAAACTAGAAATTGGAGAAAGCTACTCACGTTTTCCCTCAAAAACTGTTTCGTGTCGTCAGTCAACCCGAGCCCTTCCTCCCTCAAGTCGCCTTCGATGGCGTGCCATTTTCCCCCTTTGCTATCGTCGATGTTCGAAAATATCTCCTCCTTGATCAAGTTCGTGGCCCTCTTCTCGAACCCGACGTCCTTTTTCTGCCGCACTATCAAATAGACGCAGTTTATTTCCGTCGTCCTGAGCAGTTTCTCCATGATCATTTTGCCAAAGAAACCAGTGCCGCCCGTCAGCAACACGTTCTGGTTCTTGTAGAAGTTCTTCACTGGACTGGTCATGGCAGATTGGTACGAAACGGTATTTTCGAAACGTCGGTCGCTGAAAGCCGGGGAACTCTTATACGATTGTGTTAGGCACGCGTTTCATTGGCGTCGAACGCAGGTTTGCATTTTCACGAAAAAATACCGCTAATTGATTTAGCGATTAAGTAAAATTGGACGGGCAATTCCTATCGCTCGAAATGGCGGCTAATTAAGTCAAGTAACGAATGGAACTTCTACTTGTTTTTGAATTTCGTGTTATTTCGATGAAAAAAAGTCACCTCCATTCGAGAAAAAAACATTTTTAATATAAGAATGTTTTGCTGAAAACTATAAATATCGCAAAAAATATAACGTCATTAGGAATTAAACTGGGTAAGTCGGACAGGCTAGGGAACCAAGTTGTCTCAAGAATGTCCCAGAGGATAGTTCTGCTGAGAAGAGTCTGTATGAACTGTTGGTAGGCTATAAATCCAGGGCAATGTCTAACTCATCTTTGAGCGTAGCAGCATTTGGTGACACCAATGAAAGAGTACAAGAAAAGTCTACGAAAGAAGCTAAAGTAAGGATTTAAGATGATGATGATTATGATTGACGTGAGTCAAACTGTAGTGGTTCTGATCGTGATCGATATGTTGTATGAGGATCTACGGGGGTCAACAGGTGCACGCAAAAGTTATAGAAATGTTTGGATTGTTGACAGAATGCTGCATGTTGCATTCGACACCAGAACCTGATTAAATATTACATCGACTTCACTTGATTACATAAAGGTATTTGGCACAAACTCAGCAGAGGATAGTTCTACTGGGAAGAGCACCTATGAATTGTTGTTAGGCTATAAACCCAAAGCAAAGTCTGAGTCATTTTTGAAGGTAGCAGTAGTTGATGGCACCTATGATGGCCTAGAAAAGTCTACGCAAAAAGTTTCGAGGTGCTCCAATTAAACAACAGGGTTATTTTCATTATAAAAAAGGTAACGACATAATATGGCACCAAGCTGTTATAAGGACTAGTTCTTTTTTGGTTTGCTACTTTAGCCAAACCTTTATAATATAGTTTGCTTTAGCTTTTAATTCTCTACTAAAACCCTCTTGAAGAAGGTTCCAGACATGACCACCCAAAATTATTTCATCATACACATCACATCTAGAAGGTTTTGTCGAAATTTATATGGCAATATCAGAAATGAGGACCATATTTTTGAAAGCTGTAACAAGCAAAAAAAAACAATCTGTAACATGGTTATTGGCTCTATCCAACTTCTGAGAATACTAAATTGATTTTTTTTAGATTTACCTCTAAACCGTTCCTAAAAATTGGTCGACATTTGCTGCGAATTGCTTTTGGTGTCCAGTTGGTATCCAATTTTTGCATATGGCAAAATAATCAGCAACTAACCAACGGGCCTAAAACTTGACAGCTTTGAAGGAGCAAAATACGTAACTAAAACTAAATAAATACGTAACCAACTATGGTAGTGTCACCAACCTTTTTCTATTTGGAGAATAACATATTCGAATTGGCAGATGGAGGAAATATTTTTGAGGGACGCTGGTGCGTTGTTGCTCAGCTGCCTTGACATTGTGCCATTGTTTTCAAAGTGGGTAATGAATTCGTTATTACTAATTGAAGTCGGGGGTCATTACTGTCACGGAATTTTCTACGCCTTACAAGCAACTAACCGTTTTCTTTTTTCAATAATTTTGATATCGATAATTACTAAGCTTTGATCTTAGAGGAAATCAGAAAAAATCGCATGTAATATGCCTTGTGCATTAACAAATTTGATAAAAATAGTATATTATGCAACAAGTACGGTAAACGTCATTTGACATGAGCGGAGCGAGTGTTTAAAGTGATTTAAAAAGTTTTGCATACTATACTTTTTCTACGACCGTTAGTTTTTGGGTACATTTTCGCAAAACACGAATACATTCACTGACATGTTTAACGCTGTTTAAATAGTGGATTTACCAACAAAAGATCTATAGTTCCCTGGTGTGACAACTTGTCAAAATGACAACAAATATATTTTGTTTGTTCTAATATTCAGCAATGAAATCTTCAATCAATATGGTCGATTTTGAATTTTGGGATATGAGAGAGCATACAGACCTAGTTCTAAACACTTCAAAGCTACAAATTAGTGAAGTAGTCAATATCTCAGTATTTTCTGATTCGCAAAAACAGACTGAAACCAATGTTCTGAAGAAGGGTGAAAGTATGAAGGATTTGCTAAATGTTGAGCTACTTCCACCAGAAAACAAAATATGTGAAAACAAGAATAAATGTTGCCCTATCTCAGTAATCTGCTCCATGAAAATAAATAGTATATTATGCAACAAGTGTGGTTAACGGCACGTGTATTATTTACGAACATTTTTAACGGGATTTTTGTTAGGCGACTTTTCGAAAACCAGATTTTTTAAATGCCGTTTTTTTCCTTAAATAAGACTTAACGGCTTTGGGGATTTTAATTGATATTTGTGAAATTTGTATTCCACACTTGTTTGTTGTCGTTGTAGTAGTCTGGCTCAATCTTCATCGTGTTGGCTTTCGAAGGGCCCTCCTCAATGAAACTTAAACGATATTTCCTATTAACATTAACTAAACATTTATTCCTGCTGGAGTGATAAAGGCAGGAGTGTAACAGGTATATTTCTTTCTTTCTGATTTATTTCTTTAGTGTTGACCACTTGTGTGGTATAATTGATTTTACTGTGCGTTTAGAAACACTTATTTTACGAAAATATCATTTTTCGCTTGATGCAAAACTCGTAGAACTTTTTGAAAATTGGTTTCGAAACAATCTTTTAAAAATATTCCCAATAGCAGTGTTATTGTCATGGTATTTTTATTTTTATATACCCAACTTCTAATATGTATATACACGCTAAAGGTAGTATTTTAAACTCCCGGAAGAGGGAACTGCACGAACTATCCGACGACACTCTAACAATACACCTTAGGACTTTTTTTTGGGGATTGGGAAACCGATGTCGCATGATTTGAATTTCTCCAAAAGGGAATACCATACCACTCAAAACAGTTTTTAAATTTTTTATTATTGAACAACAGCTTTGAAGAAAGTATTTGGCATTGATTTTCACAAGATAGGGTTTCTTCGAGCTCTAGTCCTATAAATTTAGCCTGCTATATTCCCCGCTATGAATTTATTGCATGTATTTATTGTCCTAGTTCCTTCTTTGTGTAATTTAATTCAATAAGAGTATACCCACCTAAATAAATAAAAAAAAACTATATTTTCACCAAAACCTTTGAGAGTCCGTCCCTGATGTTCTGTCCTTTAGTACCTACCGGACCCGAGTTTCATTGCCGTCAGCAGGTAACTTTCAAAATTTCAGGCAAAAGCCAGACTCTTATTATTTTAGTCAAAATAATTACGTGTAGCGCCTTATATAGAAAACATAAATTTCCATTTTTTTTGCGATGCCCAAAAAACAACAAAATCGAGAATCTTTGCCTCACAGATGCCCTATAGGTATAGTGTAGGTCGAATTATTCTTTCAAATTTCCGCTCCCTGCGTATTATTTTTGACCGTATATGGATTTGCTTTTGCACTAGACTTGTGGAATGTCTGGAATAGCTTTTAATAATAATTAAGAAAACAATAATAACTAAAACTAATAAAAACAAAATTCCTTAACTGTCAAGGGTGGAATTTTTACCAATCAAAAAGTCAAATTCATAAGTCTAGGGCGAAAAATATTTATAGAGACTTCAGTTAAGGGCAACAATTCAAAAATGCTGCAATACGTATATATTTTTTGTCCATTCTTTCGTTGAAAATACTGGTGTAGGTATAAATGGCGGCTTAATATACATGTAGGAATATTATGACGGTTTTAGTATAGACTTTATGTGATACATAAGTTCCTCTCTAGATAATGGGACCGATATTAGATAGTTTTATTTACATCATTTGTTTGTGAATGCGCTATACAAGTTACCCTCAATACGGTGTAGTTTGAACCAAACTATACCGAACCAATACCGACAAAATTACACTCACCTTTAGCGATTTCGATAACCGTTAAATCGGGTCGACACTTTGAGAACGTCTTGCTGTAGACTCCGGGGTTAAATAAACCGGAACGCGAACCAAATGAACTACTGCCCCCGATGACGGCGCCGGTATAGATTTAATTAAATATTAAGTGGAATTGAGTCGGTTTGGTCCAATGGCCGCTTATTGTGTTCTATTGACCAGGTTTTTTTAGTACGCTTATCGGAAAGCTTTGACCGTCTATTAGGAGGGGCAGGAGCAGAAAGCAGTTCGAATTATTCGTTTGTTTTCAAAGCCCACTCGGAATGGTTGTCCCGGATGTTTTAATTAATAATCCGGGCTTGGAGGCGGTAGTATAAAAAAACTGCTTTTCGACCGAACCTCGTATATGAACCGACGGACTAGTGGCAACATTGATTTCGGATAACGCCATGAATAATATAAGCTTTAGTGCCTGCTGTAGCACTTGGGGATTGCAAATGGTGGTTGGGAATTTGATTAACTTTTATGGCGGAGGAATTTAAACTTGCGAACACCTCGAGGCGGGTATCGAAAATTTTTGATCTGTTTTCTGATTCGTTCGCTATCACTGGATTTTCGCCAGAAGGCATTGTTTAAACATTTAAAACTTTCTTTTGACAATACCTAAAACTTATTTAATTTTTTCCGCCATCCAACTGATTTTTACGAAGCTGTACTGAATATATTTATTTAAGAAAGTTTATACAGGGTAATGATGAAATAAAGAAAACTAATGATAAGTGTTTTAAATGTAAATATTTTAAGAGACCCTCTTAAAAAAAATAACAAATTTAAATACTTGTTGATTTACATATATCATAATTTTAAAATATTTTAATATTCTGTGTCGAAAAAGGCATATTTAGTATAAAAACCGTAGTATAGTAATAGTACGTGACGTGGGATGCCTATATTTTCTACTAGAGGTAAATTTGATTTTGTCCTAATTTGTGCATAATAAATATAATTTATTAATGTATTACATGTATTGTCAAAATGGAGAAAAGAGTAAAATAGCGGTTGGCATGGTAACGGCACGATGAAGAAAACAAAACAAAAGAATCCGTTTATACTTTTGAATTAAAATAATTAAGAACGAACTTCAATTTATTTAATGAATAATTATTTCTATTCTAATTTCTTCTCAATTATGATAAACATATAAAATAAAATAAGTAGTACCGTAACTGTAAATTTGTTGGTTAGTTTACTAATACTGCTTCTATTATACCTAAGTAAAGGAGTATGCATGCTGTGTCGACTACTTGCTGTGTCTTTTATGCTCTTTCATCTTAGCTAAAAATATTTATAACATGATATTTGAAATTTTCGAGAAAATGGTAAAAATAGCTGTGTTTGACATAAAACGCCTCCTACCGACTCGTAAAACAAATAATAACGTTATATTGACATACCAGTTGAAACTCCTATAAATACTAAACTAAGTTTGTTGGAACTGGATAAGTCAAAAAAAGTTATTCAATTTTTTTTCTAAACCAATATTTGACCGTTAATTTAACGAGATATAAAAAAAAACCTTATCTAGAGTAGATTACGCTAAAACTAATTTCAATATAGGTTAATTTGGAACATTTTTGGGAAAAAAAACATTTTTTCTATTTTACACTAGAGGTTACGCCCCCTAGCTGCCATTTCATGAAACTGAGAATAATTTCCAGCTTTTTCTCTTGGCTGATTCACCGATAAAAAATTTTTTTACGCATCATTTTTTTTTCTAAGTTGTAGGACTAAAATTTCCTGAGACACGGCCGGCGTCCTTTGTTAATGGGGTACCCGCTACAGCACCTCCCTAAGCTACGTCCAAAATTTTAACTCTTTACTAGAGCCGGTGACGTAGTAATAAAAATTTCATGGAAGTTACGTTTTGGTTGAAAACCGCTGAAGATTATTCAAAGACAATAAATCAAAAAGGGACAAAAGTCTTGCATGGATATTTCTAATCGATCTCTGGCTATTTAGCAGGCGGCTACGAGTGGCAAAGAGGAGGGGAGTTGGTTAAAATTAACTGCACGCCATTATATTACGCTCTCATCTATCTATATATAATTTCAGTCTCGCGCACTCCAAACATCATAAATCGTTAACTCGCGTATCACAGATAAAACATTTCCTACACATATATACGTGCACACTTTTATGCCGCTGAAAAAGTGCCGGGCGGTGGGCGGGATGGTGGGGGGGACGGCGCTAATTAAAACAAATTTATGTTCCATTAAATTGCCCCCGCGCACGGGTTCGATCCGGTCCTCATTTGACGCGCAATATCCTCAAATTCAGGGCGAAATTAAATCTCCTCTCTCTGTTGTTGACGAGCTCCTTTTTGTCGAAGCTCACCCCGCCCGCCAACATGCAGTCGTTCCAGTTCGCGCAAGGCCGTTTCCTCCTCGTCACCTTATCGTTGGCCTCCACCCACACCTCGAAGTGGTACCCAGCCGCTTGGTCGCACGGGCCCAAGTACGTTACCGACAGCTCTACGTTGGTGACGTAGTAATAGTAGGCGACCTTGAACGCTCCGCCGTGACAAAGCAAGACGAACGTTTGGTCGACGGCCATCATCGTTTTGGTCACTTCGGCGCTCTCGTGGACCTCACGTGGATGAGTTTCGACCAGGTGACGTTTCATGGCGTCCAACACTTGTTTAGCCGCGCACTTCTCGAACGGACACGGCACCAAGTTGTACTCGCAGTTGTCCCTGTGGGCGGCCACGTCTCCTAGCTGCAGCTTCACCTTGCATCCCCTGGAGGTGTTCCTGCACGATACCCTGGCGCTGCCGTCGACTTTCGCCGCGCAGCTGAGGCAAGCTTCGCCCTTGCACTTCGCGCAGATAGCGTGACCTAGCGAGCAGCTGTGTTCTTGGTCTTTGATCACTCCGCGACAGTTGGAGCAATGCTTCAGGTTTACTTTCAATGCCGGAGTTAGCCTCTGGTAGACGTTCTCGTAGAGGGGCAGATGGAGGAGGCTTTGGTCGTCGCTGAGGTCGGTCTGCAGCGTCGCGTTGGACCCGGAACGGTGGTTCCCGTCCAGAGTCTCGTAATGGGAGTCGTCGAGAGTGGTCACGACGTCGGGGAAGTTAAAGTACCTCTTCAAGCACTCTGATTCGTGCTGTTCTCCCGTGTCCCAAGGAAAGGTGTGGTCGCAACCCATCTTGTGATACCTGCACGGGAACATCAGGCAGCCGGCTACCGTTTCGAAGCTGATTTGACGGAAGCAGTCGCGTTGCTCGTTCTGTGGCAGAATACGGTAACACTTGCCGCAGATTTGGCGGTCGTTTCGAACCACCACAGGTTTCGTGCTCAGGTATCCGTTGCAAATGGAACAGTTCAGACCGCGGAGTACTTCGTCCGGGATTTTGATCATCGCGTCGCGGTTACTGCGCTTCGAAGGTGAACCGGGGAATGACTACACGGTATGCGGTTTATCGACGACGGTATGTCGTCCGCCCGTTATCGCTGGCTTGTTTGTTTTGATAAGGCGAAATTTGTGACGATTTTCCATTTTTATGTGGGTTACGGTTTCGCGCGATGTGTTTTCAAGACGACGCACCCTCAAGGACGCGCCGACAAAATGAAAATGCTAGAAACAGAACAGATTACTCATAAACAAAAACTGTATTAATTTTCAATGTATTCATTTTCCTGGTTAATCTATTAAACCAAGTACAATGGTGACATTTCAATGGCACTCTTAGACGACCTTACTAAAGCCTTCGATCGTGTGACCCACCGTGTACTCTTAAATAAATTAGAATTCGAGTCATATCTCGACAACAGGTTGCAGTACATTGAGTATCGAGATGAGTCGAGTGACAAGGTCCTATGCGTTAAGTGTGGCGTTCCACAAGGCTCGGTTCTTGGACCGCTGCTGTTTATCAATTATATACACGATTTGCCGCCGTCTAGCCGTAGTTCTAGCATCACCTTATTCGTGGACGATACGGCCATTTTGTCAATTGCAATTAAATACCAGTCAAGATGATATGATCACACACAGTTATTTCAGACTGACGTTTTCACAATCTAATAAGATTAACATGTAATTTTGTAAAGTTCTTCCGCCCAATCTTAGAATCCTACTTTTTAAGCAATCTAAAATAAAAATGAAAGAATTTTTTACTCATAATACGCTGTAATGAACATGCGTATTTTATTTACACCGTGTGCCAAATAAAACGATCCACTCTACGATCGGAAACCCATATGAAAAAAATGTTTTTTGGAGTATTACATCTTTAAAGTAGTCTTCATGTCTTTGCGATTTAAAAAATACTTATTATTGCGAACAAGAAACCTTATGTGGGCAACTTTAAATTCAACAAAAATTAATACGGGTGTTATCTTAAACCTCGAATTTCTCAAAAAGTAAGTAAAATTTTAATATAAGATAAATTACAAACTTATCTTATTTTTTGTCCCAGAAATGATATGTGAATAAAAATCTTGAGATTTTGTTAATTGAATTCGCCACCTATTTGGGACACCCTGTATTAGCAATTTTATATGGGGCAATCAAAATATGAAATAAAACACATAACCTGAATTTCTGCCTAAACTATGCAACATTTTAGTCATAATTATTTAAACTAACCAAAAATGTCGAAATATACAGAGTGTTCAATTTAAAATAACAAAGTTGACGTCGGGGAGGGGCGGAGACTTTTGGGAGACCCTATATCAAGAAAATTATAATATTTTTAATCTTCAGGGGTTTCCAAATCGTATAGTGCATCGTTTTTATTTGGCACAGGGTGTACACATATTATTAGATTTGTCTGTCAAATAATAGTTATTATTGTATCACCATTCATTCTCGTATAACTTATCTGAATGATTAATAAAGTTTTACTCTATTCTATTCTAATTGCATGGAAAATGTCAAAAGTTCTCGCAATTTATAAAAGTGGTGAAAAATTAGAAATTAATAATAATTAATTATTAACCTCTTGTAATCATTTGCTCAAGTAAAATGAGTACACCTTTTCGCAAATATCAGAAGTAATACATTTAAATCATTGATAGTGAGCTTTATTAGTCGGTTGTGGTGTTTCATTTTAAATTAGATATTTTTACCTTTAAAACTCAACAATATTATCAATAAT